CCACCACACCCTGTTTGCATTTTTAGTAGAGACAGGGTTTCACCATGTTGGCCACACTGGTCTCGAACTCCTAAACTCAGGTGATCCAACCGAATTGGCTTCCCAAAGTGCTGGGATTACAGGCGTGTGCCACCACGCCCGGCCACCCAGCTAATTTTTGTAATTTTTGTAGCAACTGGGTTTGGACATGTTAGCCAGGCTGGCTGCGAACTCCTGGCCTTAAGTGACCCACCCGCCTTGGCCTCCAAAAATGCTGGGATTATAGGTGTGAGCCACTGCACCCGGCCCTAGATTTGTTGATACTTTAACATAGGTTTTCATGATATATCACTCTTCATATATATAAAAATGAAAATGTAGGCAAAATAAATTGGTTGGAGTTGTCAAAGCCCTGTGACCAACGACCACCAGGAATACACCTGTAACCAAAATTAGGTTTAATTTGCTGCAGTGAAGGAGAATACATCCCAGGGATACCCTCAGGGCGCCCTCAGGAAACTCCTTAAATTTGGCCTTGTTCCCATAGTTCTATGGAGGAATTAGGGATATGGAACTGGTTCAGGATTGAATACTGTCAAGAAACAGGGGCAGTTCAGAAACTGGGTATCTTTTTTTTTTTTTTTTTTTTTTTTTTGAGATGGAGTCTCACTCTGTCACCCAGGCTGGATTGCAGTGGCACGATCTCGACTCACTACAACCTCTGCCTCCCGGGTTCAAGTGATCAGCCCACCTTGGCCTCCCAAAGTGCTGAGATTACAGGTGTAAGCCACCACGCCCAGCCTGGACTACAGTAATTTTTGCTAAAAAGAAGTAGCAATTGCTCCAAAAAAGGTGAAGTCAGGCCGGGCACCGTGGCACACACCTGTGATTCCAGAACTTTGGGAGGCTGAGGCAGGTGGATTGCTTGAGTCCAGCCTGGACAATATGGTGAAACCCTGTTTCTAAAAAAAAAAAATTATTTTTTTTAAAAAAAGGCAAAGTCAGCCAGGAGTGGTGGCTCACGCCTATAATCCCAGCACTTTGGGAGGCTGAGACGAGCAGATCACCTGAGGTCAGGAGTTCGAGACCAGCCTGACCAACATGGAGAAACCCTGTCTCTACCAAAAATACAAAATTGGCCCGGCATCATGGCGCATGCCTGTAATCCCAGTTACTCGGGAGGCTGAGGTTGTAGTGAGCTGAGATCGCACCATTGCACTCCAGCCTGGGCAACAAGAACAAAACTGTTTCAAAAAAAAAAAAAAA